AGTTTCGCAAGGGAGAAGTTAGGAGTTTGCACAGGACTAGCTTTCCAACACCAATGGTTCATGAACAGTAAGCTTTTTCTGCACCCTGTACCTTAGGAAAAGCTCCAGACTGCCTGGGGTGATGCTCTTCCATCATGCACAGGGATTCCCTCTTTGACCTAATCTCCATCAGTGGTTTGCAAAGTTTATAAAAGTAGAATTAAGGAGATGGCATCCTATTTCTAAAAGGTGAAATGCTTTATAACTTATAAGATCCTCTGCCCATGCTTAGTAGAAGGACTGTAGGCTTTGGCTTCAAATGACCAGCTGTCATGGTGTCTGTCTTAGTAGGAGAATTGACATAATAATAACAAAAATTAAAATTTACATTTACTGAATGCTTAGTACATGCCAGATACTACAATAAGGCCTTTATATACATCATTATTTAATCCTCACCGTAACCCCATATGGTAATCATTATTATCATGCTCATTTTAGGCAGCAGAAAATATACTCCAAACAGCCTTTCAACACACCCAAAGTCACACATGGAACAAGTAGCAGAACTGAGATGCAAAATCAATATAGTTTTACTCCAGATCTAGGGCCCCTGACTGTGGTGAGAGTTAAAATTATATGATTTTTATAATATATATATATATATTTATTATATATATATTTTTATATGCTATAAAATCATGCTAAAATATGCTAAATCATGCTATATGCTAAAATCATATATACTATATGATTTTATAATATATTATAAAATTCTAGTATAAAACTGTGATTCTACTCCCAAATGAAGGTGGAGATCAGGTTCCAACAAAGGACCAGGTGAAGGGATGAGTGGCAGAGGGGTGAAGGTAGACACCTGCTGGGCATGGCCAATGATCTAAGCCAGGAGGACAGGTGTCAAACACCAGCATCAAGTCCAGGATGGCAGGAAGGCTTGAGGCTTGGGCCAGGGCTTGTTATTTGAGAGACACATGCTGGAATCCAGGTAGATTCAAAAGGTAGAAGTCACGAAAATAAGTCAAAGTCAAACCCAGGGCAGCTAACGGGCAACTGGAAGACATAAGAACCGGGAATAGGAGAGGGAGCTAGTCCAAGGCCGTTCCTGGAAAGAGACGTGCTCGTACTGAAGGAGCCGTCTCCTTTATCTACAGAAGCCCTCCTCTGCCCGCACAGCCTCACTCAGCCCATCACTCACCCCACTCCTCCATGTGAGCAAAATAAACACTGGGAGAAGAAAGGCCAGTAGTGCGTAGATATTATGCTAATTGTTTACAGAGCAGGCCTACTAAAATGCTAAAGAAAATTGTCTTAATTCTTAAATTATTCAACACCAAAATTACTTTAATTGTACCAACAAATAAAATAAAATAGGCCATTGTTAAATTTAGAGGACTCTAAAAGACGCATTGGAAATCCGCCCATCCTGGACGCCCCAAACGCATCAGCAACCAGACTGAACCCTCTGCTGTAGGCGATGCAAGCCAGGACCCGAGCCACTTCTCAGCAATAGCGGCTCCGGATTCCCAGCACAGCAGGGGCCATTCTGGCTGGACAGGGAAGCTAAGTGATCTTTAAGAGCATTGCCTCATTCTTCTTCAGGATTGTACATTTATTTGGGGGCCTTGACATGAATGTCTGTGGCAAGCAAAGTGTTTTAATTTTGTTAACGTTATGCTTGTAGGGAACAAAAATATGCCACTCCAAAATATGCCAATTTGGCATGAAGGTTCTTTTGAGCTGGAGGAAAATGAGATTCAAGAGATACAGAGTTCTCTTCCCAGAACTTCCCTAATCTGAATAAAACCAGACACTTCTGAGAAATGAGGACTGCCACAAATCCCTCCCTCTCCCAGGGGAAGTTTTCTGGATCTGGAAAGAACAGAAAGTCAGCAGTAAAATGGATGTGCACAAGCGAACCTCACTCTGTTAGTTGCCACATATACTCACCTTCCCACAATCTGCCACCTTTGGAAGTCTAAGGGCCTTTTCCTTCTCTTGTCACTTCTTTACAAAGGTATTGCTCTTTGCTGAGATGCTATATAAGCCCCAGTTCTAACCACCCCTTTGAGTTATTCTTCCCCGAGTTCCCTCCTGTGCGGTGTGTGCTGCACAGGATGACAATCTGCTTTTTCTTCCTGTTAATCTGTCTCTTGTCAGTCTAATCTGCAAGGCCCCAGCCGATGAACCTAAGATGGGTAGAGGAAAAGTGTTTTTCCTCCCTTACCTGTTCATCATACCGTGTTTCCCCGAAAATAAGACCTGCCCATAAAATAAGCCCTAGCAGGATTTCTAAGCATTTGTGCAATATAAGCCTACCCTGAAAATAAGACCTAGTGATGGGCATGGCTATGCAGCGCATCTTCACAACCCATGCATTTCGTCACGGAGTGGTAAAGAAGACGAGCAGCCCTTCTCATCTGCCCCACCAGAGCTCTATTGCTCGACATGAGAGATTGGGGCCAATGGTTCTAAAGGAAATAGAGTCACAAGAAATTCAGGATGGAATTCAGGGTTTGGAGAGTTATGATGATGTTCCAGAAGAAGACGACTTAACTCTATTTGAATCAATGTAGATTGTTGTACTGTACTTAAAAAAATAACACATCCCCTGCAAATAAGCCCTAGGGTGTCTTCTGGAGGAAAAATAAACATAAGACTTTGTCTTATTTTCAGGGAAGCACGGTATTTGAGCAACTGAGAAGACTCGAGGGAAGAAAGCTTCCATGCTGCCCCCTGGACTTCCAGAGACCCTCAAATACTTTACATTTTCAGCAGATATTTCTCAGGTTTTCCCCAGTCCAGGAGCTGCACAAAGTGTTTCCATAGAACAAGTCACCCTCTAGCCCTCCCTAGGGGCTCACAGACACGTAAGCTGATAGCTACATAAATGAAGAGCTACACTGGAAGCAGAATTACATCAGTAAGTTTTCTCCTAAAAGACTCCCATGCAGTAAACAATAAACTGCTTACCATTTTTTCTACAAGCTTTATGTATGTTAACTAATGAAAGCATTACAACCACACTGTAAATAAGTACTAGCATTCATTCCATTTTAAAGATGAGGAGACTGAGGCACAGAGAAGTAACATGGTCCAAGGATGCACAAAGCAGATAAAAGAACCAAGAATGATGCCCAGGATGTCTGGCTCCACACCCACGATCCCAATGCACGTTTGTCCCTTTCTGGAAGGAAGCTCCATTCTAGAGCACCAGGCCCAAATCCCAGGCTCCTTTCTGTTTCTCCACCTCGATTTCACCTAAATTCAAAGCAGATCCAGAGTCAGATCACATCTTGCCCCTCAGCTGGTCCAGGCCACCATCTGGCTCACCTAGATTATCACAAGAGCTTTCCCACCGGTCTCACCTCAAACCTCTGCAGCATGAGTGACTAGCTCAGGCTGCCAACCCTGGGTGACTGTGACGGTGCCTCCCACACCTGCAGGGTCTGTTGCAGCCAGCTGCTGCTCTCCTGCTGCTCCCGTGCATGCCCTCGTGCCGGCTGGGTCAGCTCCACATCGCATGGGAAAGGGTGAAGCCTGACCTGTCCCTGCCCCAGCACGAAGACCCGAATCATCAGACACACTCAGGGAAAGTGCCAGTCTTTCCCAACCCCTGGAAGGGTAGAAGAAAGAAACAACAGATCTGGGCGGACCCTGGCCTGCAGGAGCAGCATCCTGCAGTCCCCTTCTCTACCCTGGGAGGCGTTTGGGTTTTGGAATCACTCACAAGCGCTAACGCTCTGTGCGGCACAAACCAGCTCCAGGCAGGTGCGCAGTGTCAGGGTCTCAGGTTTTCAGACCTCCCTGATGGCACATTCAGAGGGCCTCCGTGACCACCTGTCACTGCTGGTACAGCACTCCCCACAGCAGAAGTCACAGGATGACCCGTGACACCCAATCTAATCACATCAAGTATGTTCTCCTAAAGCATTTTTAGATAACGATTTCTTATTACAGCATTCCCACCAGGATCAGCCAGCTAGGAAATCCCACCAGCGTGTTTACAGAGGTTTCAGCTAAAAACTGGTTTAAGGCCTTATGGGGAAGGAGGGAGGCGGAAGGAGAAAGTGATTTGTGGACTCACTGTTACTACTCCTTTCCCGCCACCTCACACCACATGCAAAAATCAATTTCAGACGGTTTGTACATCCAGATGTGAAAAATAAAGCATAAAGCTTTTAGAATAAGACCGAGGCAACAATTTTTTACATAAGACACAAAAGTATTAAAAATTGATAAACTAGATGACATTAAAAGTAATAACTTCTAAAAAGACATTATTAGGAGAATAAAAAAGCAAGCCACAAAATGGGAAATGATGCAGGCAATGCATATCTCCAACACAAGAATCATGTGCAGAATAAATACTTACAATTTAGTAAGAAAAGATTAAAAACTTCAATAGAAAAATAAGGGAAAAAAAAAAACCAGAAATCTTAAACAGGCTCTTGTCCACAGAGGATATCCAAATGGCCAATAAATATATGTAATGGGGTCTCAACTTCATTGGTGGTCAGAGAAATATAAAATTAAAAAACCTTGAAACACCCTCACCACCCATTAGAATGGTCAAAATGAAAAAGATGAAAAATACCAAGAATTGGTGGGTCTGTGGAGTAGCCAGAACTCTCAAGCACTGCTGGGAAGAGTGGACATCAACACAACCATGATGCAAAATGGGTAAGATTTTCCAAAGGACAAAATACAGCTACCCTAGAGCCCAGCGATTCCACATCTATGTATATACCTAACATCAATTGATACATATGTGCACTAAAATATATGCAAGTATGCAGCTGTGCTCATTCCTGGAAAAAAAAAATAAATAAAAAAATAAAATATATGCAAGTGTTCATAAAAGTACTTTAGCACTATTTACAGTAATCAGTAACTGAAAACAATGCACTAGCCCATACACACCAAATGGATAATTGCATTGTGTTATATTGTGTTATATGGAACATTGTATGGAAATAAGGATGAACAAACTATAACTAAATACAACATAGAAAAGCACCCCAAATATAAACTGAGTCAAAGAAGCCAAATATAAAATGTGTCATCTATACCTGTCTATCTATAATTCAAAACCAAGAATAACTAGTCCATGGTGTAAGAATTCAGATTAGTGGCTGTGCTTTGGGGGTGAGGGCAACAGGCAGGAGGGCGTGACTCAAGGGGGTCCTGGGGGCTTCCTAGGCTGCCAGTAATGTTCATCTCTTGATCTGCATGTCAGTTACACAGATGAGTTCACTTGGAAAATCTGTTGGGCTGTATGCTTATTGGTCTGTAAGTTGTAGTTCTATAAAAGGTTTACTAAAAGTTGCAAACACTAGATTTTAATACATTTAGGTGAGGCAGACACTCTCCAGATCACTGTGATCCTCATCCTTGTCTATGTCTTACCCTGGATCCACCTCCCAGCTCACTCCTGGCCCCTAAGGCATTTAAATTTGAGTCCCTGGGTGGTCAGCTAAGGCCCTCTAGCCCTTCCCACCCCCATCCTTCCATTGTGTTTATAATTTTCACATTATGTAGATTTCTTAAAAACAAACCAACCAAAGGCATTTTTCTCATCCCTGGGTAGACAAAGCTATGAAATGGGATGCAGTAACCCTGACTAGATGAAACTGTGATTTAAACATTAAGAAGTTATGTACACTAAAAGCATTTCATAGTGCTAGAGAAAGGTGCTAAAAGTATGGTCCAACGTGTTTCATGTCACCAGCTGGTTCCTAGAATCTGTGTGTAAGTCCATGAAGACTTAACAATTTCAAACAGATGAGATGAGAACAGAAACAGATGTGTCTCCGGATGGCCGAGCAGATGCAGATGTCTGAAGTACCAGCACAGTGACCACCCAGATTGTGCCTCCAGCTCCACGTGAATATTCCAGATTTAACTCTGGGACTTGGCAACTTGTGTACATCAAGCTTGCACTCTGCATACCAGAGAGAAATTAATCACCCAGTGTGTTGCATTTCAGAGTTCATAAGAAGGGCTGGACATCTACCTGTCACTGTGTGTCTCTTTGCCTGGACCCCCATCTACCTTTAATGTTTCAGGGTCTTGGGTAACAGTACAAATGGAGGCTCCTATATCAAATGTCTAAATATTTCATAATTGTAAATCAAATGGGCCCAGCCATGTTTTAACACAGGTTCACACGGCCTGGTTCCCAGTGATTGCTCTTGCCACCTGGTGACTAAAAGAGCTATACTCCCTGTCTGCTGCCTCAGATCACAAGTGGTAGAGTGAGGCAATTGGGCAGGACCTGCGAGAAGCCAGCCCAGGACCAGCACCCATGGGCAGTACCAATTTGTACTTAGACAAACACTGGAAAATAATTGGGAATCATCTGTTAAAGTTTATGATATACATAATTTACAACCCAGCAGTTCCACTCCTAGGCATATATCCTAGGATAACTCTTCTGCACACAAAATGAGAGTTCTTTAATCATCGTGCATAAGTTTCTCTGTTTCTTGTAAACTGTACAATAACATGAAAAGTAAGTATTATTCTCCCTATTTTTTGGACAAAAGACAGAAAGTTTATGTATCTTGCCAAATGATACCTTTCTACATATAATGCTCATTGAACTTCAATTTCATTCTATTTCTGGTTGGAGATGTTGGAAAGATAAAAGCCACACATTTCCCAGGGTATCTTATAGCAGGGAGTTTGAATGAGAATGCCATTCCACCAGTTAGATATAGTTGCATGAGATGTGGAAGGTGGCAATGAGGCTATTTGTGCTGGTCAGCAAGTTCCTGGGACCATGAAGATATTCTTCAGCCATGTTCCAGGACCAGCTAAAACACCTGAAAAAGAAAAATCTATTTGAAGACAATGGAAAGCTACCCAATCAACTTGGACTTAAGGGGCCCTACTAATGATTCTCCATGGGAGGCTGGTCTACCACAATCTACTCCATCATAAGCACAATTAGACTCCCAGAATGATACAAAAGTACCCCATCCTGGGAACTACCATGTTTCCCCAAAAATAAGACAGGGACTTATATTTATTTTTCCTCAAGAAGACACCCTAGAGCTTATTTTCAGGGGATGTGTTATTTTCCCCTCAAAGCCTCAGCTTGCAGCACGCACAGGATGGCCGGGACCTGACAGGGGGAGCCGACCTTGTTGGTGGGACTGCCCACACCTTTCCAGTCACCTCTGGGATAGTAGCTGTCACGATGGGGCAGATGAGAAGGGCTACTCCTCTTCTTTACTGCCATGAAATGCATGGGTTGTGCAGATATGCTGCGTAGCCACGCCCATCACTAGGTCTTATTTTCAGGGTAGGGCTTATATTGCACAAATGCTTAGAAATCCTGCTAGGGCTTATTTTCGGGGAAACACAGTACTACTGGTGAAAATGCTACCAAGGATACTTCCATAACTGTTTCTTGATACCCAGGAATCCAGAATGTGGAAATCAAAGGTAAATCGATTCAAAATACACACACTGAAGTACAGAGTGAAACAAAGCAAATATAGAAAAGGGTATTTAAAAAAATAGTGGTACATTGAAAAAAATCTCACCATACTTGTATTTGAAATCCCAAGAAAGGAAGAGAAAGAAAAAAGTACAAAAGCAATATTAGAACATATGACTGAAAATGTTCTAATTTTGATGAAATCATCAACACACAAATTAAAGAAATTCGGCAAATGTCAAGAAGAATTAATTCAAAGAAAAACTTCCCTTCCTACATTGCAACAAAACTACTGAAAACCAAAGAAAAGGACAACATTTCAAAAATAAGTATGGCAAATAAACATATTACCTTTTGTCTTCTCATCAGAAGCCAGAAGACAGTATAGTTACATCTTAAAAATGCTGATAGAAAATAGCTAACAACTAGATTTCTATACCCAGTGAAAAACATCACTCAAAACATGAAAGTGACATAAAGATGTTTCAGATAAATAAAAACTAATAAACTTTGTTGTCGGCAAATCTAAACTAAAAGAAATATCAAGTGGAATTCTATAAGCAGAAGGAAAATAATTCCAGATAAAAGCATCAGAAACAGAGGAAAAAAGAAGAAGGGGAAGGGTATTACAATAATAATGTCTTAGAGGAACTGAAACCTATACAGAACAAAGTGTTTGATAACAATAGCACAACAGCAGAGGAGCAAATGGAGTTAAAATGTTATAGGATGTTGTAGTACTGACAGGGACATGGTAAAATAAATATATATTCTCTTTATATATTCTTTGTATATTATTGGATATATGTAGATTTAGGATTGTTTTATATTCCTGCTAGACTGATATAACTACTGATACATTTGGATTGGCTTCTACTCTTGCTATTATTGTTTTTTATTCAATTTGTTTTATACTTAATTTTCTCTGTCCTTGCTTTATTTTGGATTAGTATAGTATTTTTAATATAATAGACTATATTTTAGTTATATAATCATATTCAGTATTTTATAATGTGCATTCCCAACCAATTATAGTTAATATAAAGTATAATATATATAAAGAATATATATATAAAGAAAATATATATAAAGAATATATAAAGAAATATATATATTTATATATAAATATATATTTATATATAAATATATATATACACAAATATATAAAGAACAAATTGAGAAAACTAAAAAGGAGGAATAGAAAAATCCACAAGCAGAACTGGAGGCTTTATCAGCAGCTGACAGAACAAGCAAACCAAATAATTGACAAACAAAATATTATAATATAAAGAATTTATAATTAGCCTAATTGACAAATATAAAAAGCTATGACTAACACAACAGAAAAATGCAATTTTTTTCAAATACATATAGGATATTTCCCCTAAATGACCATAAGATGAGCTAAAAAGAAAGTCTCAACAAAGAGTTGAAATCGTTGAGAGTATATTCTCTGACCACAACAAAATTATGCCAAAAAAATGGATACATACATATACATATAACTAAAAATCCTCAACTATTGGAAATTAAGTAATACGTATGTAATCACAAATTAAAGAAAAATTTAAAACAGGAATTAGAAAGCATTTTGAAGTAAATAAAATGACGATAGGGGCTGGGTGCAGTGGCTCACGCCTGTAATCCTAGCACTCTGGGAGGCCGAGGTGGGAGGATTGCTCGAGGTCAGGAGTTCGAAACCAGCCTGAGCAAGAGCGAGACCCTGTCTCTACTATAAATAGAAAGAAATTAATTGACCAACTAATATATATAGAAAAATATTAGCCAGGCATGGTGGCGCATGCTTGTAGTCCCAGACATTCGGGAGGCTGAGGCAGTAGGATTGCTTGAGCCCAGGAGTTTGAGGTTGCTGTGAGCTAGGCTGACACCATGGCACTCACTCTAGCCTGTGCAACAAAGCGAGACTCTGTCTCAAAAAAAAAAAAAAACAATGACGATAGGACTTTAAACTTGTGAGACTGAGAGTTGTGCTTAAAAGAAAATGTATAGCTTTCCGTCCTCATATTTAAAAGAGAAATGTTGAAAATCAAGTTTTAATTATCCATCTCAAGATATTAGGAAAAGGAAAGCAAATGAAAAGCAAAAAAAGCAGAAGAAAGGAAATAGTAAACATAAAAACAAAAAGTAATGAACAAAAAATAAATAAAACCAAAAGTTGGTTCTTCGGATGGATTAATAAAATTGACAGTCTTCTAGCAAGGCTAATGAAGAGAAAAGGAGAAAATGCACACGTGCCAGTATCTGGCATGAAAAAGAGGACATTATGAGAGCAGCAATATGTAATAAACAGATAAGAGAACAAGAGGATCTAATGAAAAACTTTATTCTAATAAATTTGAACATTTACTTTAGTGACTATTCTTTAAAGAAAAATCCAACTTACTAGGTATATGAGTCTGTTTCTGGATTTTCTCTTCTGTTTCTTTGGTCTGTTTGTCTCTCCTGACACCTACAACACACAAGCTTAATTACTACAGCTTTGTAATATTAAGGAGAATTAAGAAGAAATGGAAAATCTGAATATTCCTATATTTATTAAAGACATTCAATTTGTTTGTAAAAACATTTTCACATAAACACACACACCAGAAGGTTTCATTTGTGATTTTTTAAAAACAATTAAGGAAGAAATAACACACTTACATAAATCTCACAGAAAAGAGAAGAGAGGGCTTCACAATTTATTTTATGAAGTCAACAAAACTTTGGTATGAAAACTCAACAAGAATATATAAGTACAAAAATTATAGGCCATCTCTTTCATAAATAATAAAAACATTTTAAATTAATGAACAAAATCTAACAATATATAAATATGTCATAAGAAGTTTGTTTTATCCCAGGAATACAAGAATGATTTAACATGCACAAATCAGTCAATGCTATTCATCATAGTAACAGAACAAAATAAATGATTATAGATAGAGAAAAACATTTGATAAATTTCAATATTTATAATTTATTCTTTAAAACTCAGTTACCTATGAATAAAAGGAAACTTCTTCAATTTGGTAGAGATTATTCTTTTTTATCAATTCTTAATGGTGAAATGTTGAAATTGGGATCAAGGATACCCACTTTAACAATTTCTCTTATACTTAGAATTAGAGAATGACACAGTGTAATAAAATAAGAAGATAGAGGTTATAAAGACTAGAAAGAAAAAATACCTATAATTATTTGCAGATATTACGTTGTATAAAGAGAAAATCCAAAAGAATTAATAGCCACATTATAATTAATACGGAAGTTAACAAAAGATCTAAAACAAGTCAACAAGTTAACAGACAAAAGTAATTATATCCTTTTATGACAAAAATACACAAAAGGAATATGCATTTTGGAAATCAAAATACAGAAAATATTCAGAAATAAATCTAACAAAAAATGTCCTGCATAATCTCTGCATTATATGATTGTGAGAAATTAAAGAAACCCAAATCGAGATATATTCCATATTTGTATATCAGAAGACTTGTCATAGAAAAGATTTAAATTCTTTCCAAATTAACCTAGAGATTCCACACTCTGAGTATGGAACCTCAAGCCAAATCCCAGAAAAGTTGCATGTGTGTGTGTGTGTGTGTGTGTGTGACTTAACAAGCTGATTCTAATTTTTTATTTTATTATTTTTATTTTATTGTTTACTTATTTATTTATTTTAATATTTTTATTTTATCATGATTATTATTATACATAGAAATGCAAGATACCAACAATTTTCAAAGAACTCATGAAGAAGAGCAAAGCCAAATGACTTGTGCTACCAGGTCTTAAGATCTCTCACAAAGCTGTAGTAGTTAAGGTTGTGTGATGCCAGTGATAGGAGAGGAACAGAATAGAAAATCCAGAAATGGACTCAGACACCTGATTTATGATAGAGGTAAAATGTACTGCAATAGGGAAAGAAAGTTCTCTTCAAATGATGGCTCTTTTTTTCTCCTTCATTACCTCTGTCAGGCCAGGTTTGTCAAAAACCTGAGGCTAACATACAGAGCTTATGAACTATTGTTCTATTAGAAACATAATCCCATGCAACAGAAGCGAGAGACAAAGTCAGAGATGAAGGGAGGGTGGGAGAGCCAAGGCAAGGATACCTATCTGAGCAGCCCTTGCTAAATGTGGAAATCAAAACCCTTGCTCAATCTAGGGAAATGCACTTTAATAAGCCATGCGAACATCTGGCCAGGACCGTCCCTCAGAGGAGGCAAAGTGGGAACCATTTATCTTCCAGTTGCCTCCCATAGGTCAGAGGGTCACCTCTTAAAACATGAACTACCCACATTCTAGGGAACACACCTGGACAGGTCTAGCGAGCTCTCAGCACAGAGGCCGAGAGTGCAGCGTGGGCAGGAGGTGAGGGACAGCCAGGTGGCACCTGCAGCAAGGCTGGCCAAGCCCAGACAGAGCTGGAGAGAGAGACTGGGGCTATGAGTGGGTCTGGGAGAATAAAAGGAGTCAGGTACAGTGCCGTTAGCCAAGTTAGAAAAACACACAGCTGTTACGCAAATATTGAAGGCAAACTCAAGGAAATTGTAATTAACCAGTACCATCTTCAATGTCTTGTCCTAGAAAAGATAATATCAAATCAATCTGGATTTATCTCAAGTTTAATACGAGCATATTCCTTTGAACAATCTGCCAGGGTCTGAAAATCAAAGAAAAAAATCTGTCTCCCTCTAGTGTCCAAACTGTTATTTTACAATTCTATTGGCTGTTAGACAAATTTGGAAAACAAAATGTTGTTTTAGCTTCTAGAGGAAAAATATCTCAAGTTGTTATGTGATATCAAATTGTTTAATGTAAGGCAGGTGCAGCAAATGTTTTCTGTAAAGTGCATATTTTAAATATTGGTAAATATGGTAAATTTATGGTAAATATTTTAAATATTGCAAAGTACATACAGTCTCTGTTGCATATTTGCCTTAGTTTTTTGTTTTGCTTTATTTTAGCAACCCATTAAAATATAAAAATCATTCATCATACACTGACCATACAGACCATACAAAAGCAGGTCAGACTAGGTTATAGAGTTTGCTGACCTTCATGAGGGATGCCATTTATTATTAAAGATACATGTATTCCTATACTTATTTATAATTAATATTTAATTTATTTATTACATATATTAGATACTGATACATATACTTCTAATATTATGATGCATTTTGTCTTTAAACGTAAATATTTATAATGTCAAGTGTTTTACAAATATTCTTTGTTTTTAATGTTTATTCTTAGGTCAAAATTCTGAAGAATCCTGGCATTTTGGTACATCCCTAGAATTTGGAAGAAACTCTCTTTCAGTGCAGAAATTCTTTGTACAATATCTCTAAAAGTGGATCGTTTTTTTACTTCCAACCAAAATGTCTCCATTACAGTTAATACTTCTTCTTACAATATCCTGCCTGATCGCTAGATGGCGCTAGTTGCTTAAATTTCTGAATTGCATACAGTTGATTAGAATTCATTTGAAACTTTCATCTACATGGATTCTGCTTTGGGACTTAGGCCTGTCCAGTCCCTCTTCCATATTACGGTTCTTCACATATTTTAAGATGCTATATTTTCCCATCAGATTTCCCTTCATCTGAGATTTGGAGATACCAGAAGCAACCAGGTTGCAGGACCTATCTTTGAATTAGTTTCAGGCACAGTGCTTGGTTTTAATAATTATTAGCCTTAACACTTGAATTAGATTCTTAAGCTCCCTGAGCTAGAGGGAAGCGAAATAGTAGAATGATTGTGTCCAGGCACTGCAAGCAAAATAACTGAGTTTAAATCCTGATTCCACCTCTGTAAATTAGCTGAAAATTACTCAACTCCACTGTACCTCTGTTTCCTCATCTATAAAATGTGTAATTAATAATATAATATTATAAGCTTCTTGATAAGTTTATTGGAGATAACACATGTAAAATGTTTAATTCAGTGCTTGGAACATTAAAAATATTTAATAATAGCTTATTATTTTATGCATTCTATCAATATTTATACATATAATTTTAATGGCTGATTTTATATTTCATCATAAAAAGTTCTATGATTCATTTAACTATCCCCAACCATGAGATAATTTTGCAGTTTTGGCATTTTTAATTTAACAATGCAATGAACATCTTTGTATGTAAACCTTTGTCTCTAAATGAATTAAGATTTGTTTCCAGATGTATCATTACTAGGTCAGTGAGCTTAAATATGGCTCAATTATTTTCAAAAAATTTTACACCAATTTGGCCTTCTATCAGCAGTGTTTCCATGTGACTTTCTAAATGAATACTGAATTACTAAATTTTCTAAGTATTTGCTAATTTTAGGGATATCAGTCACTCTTTTTTAATAACCATTTATGTTTATTATAGAAAAATGGGAAAAGAAAACATAAAGAGAAAAAAAAAACATAAAGAGAAGAAAATGAAAGCCCTCGGAAGCCCACTTGCTATGTATTCTTCTCTGTCCGTTCATTTCAGTGGAACCTTCTGACAACACTTCCATTGAGTCACTCTTTTTTGACAGTAAATAACTGAACTCTCTTGTAACAGTTTAGGGTAAATGGGGAAAATTATTCATGAATATACACATGTATTAGAGCTTTGGGAGGTAGGACTTCTAGTAAAATAAAATAAAATATATATATACATATATACATATATATATATGCTATTTTCTCTCGAATATACTTGATCTGTAAAACCCTGAAACATCTGACCTTTGCCAGCATGCCTGACACATGTTTCCACTGGTCTGCCAGGGACAATGCTGAGGAAACTCTGGCCCTGAAGACTGTTTCACTTGCCCATCCCCTACTTCAAATTTCCCTTTTCCCTGAGTTGTTCAGTCTGTCTGAGCCCGTAATGAACCAGAGGAGAGACTGACAGTTTGATCAAACTTTACATTTGATACAACTTCAGGCTGGTTAGACAAGAACAGACAGCCCTCAACTTTATGTGAGCTTCCTTCACTATAATTTTTTTTGCCCTGTCTTAGGTCCAAACTTCTGCCCGTGTACCTAAATGAAAATAAGCATTCCCTGCCTCAACTTTCCTGTTATTGCAAAATTTGACACAGTTCCTTAAGTAGCAAGACCCCTCGCCAGTTGTTAGTTCTCTCCCCACAGTGGTCTATCTCATGGTCTTTGCTTAGAAAAGCTTTGCTCACCCACCTATTCCAGGAGATGTTCTGGCTTGGACTCTGAGCATCTCCCTATTGCAATAATTCTCCTTAATCAAGTCTCCCCTTACTAATGTCCAGAGACATATTTGTGTCTCTTTAACAGTACATAAAACTAATAATTCTCTTCCTACATTTCTAAAGGTCTGTTAGAATGGAGCTGGCAGTTGCTGGCAGAGGGGATATCAGAGTACAAATGTGTTAAATAACTTTCCCAAGACCTCAATACCAATAAGTGGTTGATTTAGGATTTTCAACTAGACATTTCTGACTCCAAAA